GTTTGTTTATGGGGCTGGAGAGATGGCTTAGCTCTTAAGAGCACTGACTGCTCTTTTGGAGGACTGGAGTTTGATTCCCAGCACCCACATGGCAGCTAACTCCGTAACTCCAGTTCCTGGAGATCTGGAGCCCTTTTCTGACCTCCATGGACATTGCAGGACACAGGTGCACTTACAACACATGCAAGAAATACACTCATCACATAAAATAGAAATACTTTTTAAAATTTTTAAATTATTTATTGATTGCTTTTATTTTCTGAGACAGGGTCTCACTATGTGGCCCAGGCTAGCCTCATATTTGTGATCCTCCTACTTCCAGCCTACTAAGTGCTGGGATTACAGGCATGTGCCACCAAGCCCAGTTTATAGTATTTAAGAATATCCCCCCAATCATTGATCCACTTACTTAGGCACAAAAATGAGAATAGTTCATTGAACTTCTAAAATTGTGTGTATTAGCTTGAATATTTTTACTCTGGATGGAACCAGTATTAAAATCCGTCTCTAGTTTTGGTTGCTCTAACTGAATACTACAGACTGGGTCATTTTGAAAGAGCAAAGTTCTTATTTAGCTCATGGTTCTTGTAGCAGTTGATATTGATTGTTAACTTATGGTATCTAGAATCACCTAGGAGATCAGGATCTGGGCATCTATCCCAGTGAGGGATTATCTAGATTAGGTTCATTGAGATGGGAAGCCCACCCTAAATGTGGGTGACACCATTCCATGGGCTAGGGTTCTGGCCTGAATTCAGAGGAGAAAGAACTGAGCACAAGCACTGCTCTCTGTGTCTTGACTGCAGTAGGACCAGCTGCCTGCTCCTGTAGCTGTGGTAGACTGTACCCTGGAACTTTGAGACAAAATAAACCTTTCTCCTTTTTGTTTTGTTTTGGGTTGGTTTAGTTTGTTTATTTGTTTGTTTTGGGACAGGGTCTCTTGTGGCCCTGGCAGGTCTGGAACTCTGCTATGTAGAATAGGCTGGCCTTGAACTCACAGAGATCTGCCCAAGCGCAGGGACTAAAGGCGTGTGCCACCACACCCAGCCCAAAGTTGCTTTTGTCAGGGAATTTGATCACAGCAACAGGAAAGTACTAATATGTTTATGAAGTCTAAGTCCAAGAGCATGGGGCTGGCATCTCATGAGAACCTAATGTCTGCATTATAACATGGCAGAGACTATCACATGGTGAATGAGCAAACATGATAGACAACAAAATCATACAGTAATGCATTAATCTATAAATGCAGGAGTGGATTCATCCACTTATGAGAGCAGGACTGTCATGACCAGTAGTCACCTTTGAGGTCACACCTCTCAACACTGCTGTTTTTGGAAGCAAGTTGTCTACACATGAAATTTGGGGAGCATATTCAAACCAAACCAATGTTTAATATTTAATATTCTTTAAATATTAAACATTGCAGTCCAGATAGCTCAAAAAATGATTCATGCTGACACCCTTTAAAGTGCAATTCCAAGTCTGAAAAGATAGCTCAGTGGTTACAAAGCACTGGCTACCCTTGCAGAGGACCCAGTTTGTTTCTCAGTACCCACATGGCAACTCACAACTGTCTGTAACTCTAGTTCCAGGAGATCCACCTCCCTCTTCTGGCCTCCACAAGGACTGCATACATGTGGTGTACTTATATACATACATACGTACATACATACATACATATATACATGCAGGTAAAACACCTATATACATAAAATAAATCTTTTAAAAACAAAGGGCTGGGTATAGTGGTGCATGCTTTTATTCCTGGCATTCAGGAGGCAGAGAGACAGGTGGATCTCTGTGAGTTCCAGGTCAGCTGGGCTGCCGAGCCTCCGCCCAGCGAGGCAGGACGTGGAGCTCAGAGTTGGGGGCCAAGGAGGGGTAAGTGCGCTGCTCGCCCGTTCACCGGCTCCCTCAGATGCAGCAGGGAGTTTAGTCATGCAGGAACTCGTTTATTGTGTTACAGAGCTTATAAAGGCAAAAACCACAATCATTAGCATAGGCGGGAACCTATCCTCCAATCCTGTGGAAGGTCACGTAGAGCACACAGGCTCCTTTCAATGTACTACTATGGTGATCACGAGGTGCTCACGCATTTTCCTCCTGGTTAGTCTCCAATCACATACACTTCCTCTTATTTTTTGTCCCTGGTTCAATTGCTTAGCTCCTCCCCCCACTGAGGCGGTTGGCACCATTTTGAACGCAGTTTTCCTACACTGGGCTACAGGGAGACCTGTCTCAAAAAGACCAAAAATTAAAAAGTTAAAAAGGAAGAAAAAAAAGTTAAATTCCATGGTTATTAAATATGGAGAAGACCACAATTTTGTAGGTGTTTTTCCATATCCCACTTTATCTAAAAAAACAAAAGTTTGTGCTATGGGAAAGAACTCATGTGTGTAACTCTGTAAACATAGCCAAATATAAATGGCTTGAGAGGTCATAGATCCTATAGAAAAATCTATGTCATATCCCTAGACAACTGTAATTTATTGCTGTATGCTAAATATGTAAATACAAACAAGTATACCTCTCACCACTCATCAAAGAAGCTTCTTTTTGCAATAGATGGAGTTTTTACAGAGTATGGTAGAGTTCCATAACTGGTCAAACTCAAAGACGAAGTGTCTGTGAGATGCCCAGCCCTGAGTGACACATCTACAATGCGAGCTCTCTATACCTAAGGCTCAGGGAACATAGTGGAATAGGGGGCAGAGAGAATATTAATGCATCTCTCAAATCTCACCAGCAAAGCTTCCTCATGCAAGAGATGGTGATCAATGTAGAATGCCACAGCTGGCCAAAATGTAGAAAATAAGAGACTGCAGAGTTCATTTCCTTGGATAGGACTCCTATATTAAACCTCAGCCACCCAGGGCTCAGAGACCATTGCAGAAGAGGGGGTGGAAAGATTTTCAGACCCAGGGGTGGTGGATGACTACAAGGATACAGTTTTCCAGGCAGCTGGGAACTTGCTCATTTGAGCATAAGCAATGGTGACAACACGCACAAGACCCATGCAAACTCAAACCAGAGAAAACTCAGCACAGGAGGGGAAATAGGTAAGAAACGGAGCACAGACTTGACTCAATAGGCCTTAACATATATGACAGAATACATGAAATCTGGCAGGAGAGGGCCTATGGGGGGAACAGATAGGAGAGGGAGGGATTAAGATGTATCAAATGCACAAAAATTCAATTTAAAATAGAAAAAAATTTAATGTTTGTTCTAATAGAAAAGCTTGGCTATTTAAAATTCAGCCTTAATGCATGTTCATCTTACACATACAAAATTCTGATTACTATTGGTACTGTAAATTGGGAAGACATAAGAGTTTCAGAGACTCATGATTTCATTTGCTAAATCTGAATCTGAAAGAGCAGTACCTACAGAAAAATTAAGACTTAAAATAAGACAACAAATTTTCATCAATCAAAATGAGTCATGAAGGGTTTATAAAAGTATAACTTTGTAATGTTAATGTAGTTTTTGTTTTGAAATAATTGTGTGTGTGTGTGTGTGTGTGTGTAACTTTGTGATAAGGAAGGCCTGAAATATGAGACAGAACTAAAAAGTCATAAAGGACAGAGTGGTAAGTTTGACTGTATCTAATTGGTTTGGTAGGGTATAAGCCAGACCTTTTCTAGTACATTTTATAGAAGCTGATAAATGTATAATTTGGTTGCTTATTTTTCCCCCGAGTTCCTTGTACACACATTTGTTTACAACTAGCTTTCCTTATTTAAATATGTTTTCGAAGGTGAGCATGGTAATACATGCATGTAATCCCAGCACTTAGGAGGATTGCTTCAATTTCTAAAGACAGTCTGAGCCTTACTGAGTTGAAGTCAAGACTATCCTGAGCTGTATAGTCAGACAGACTGATAAGGAAAATTTCCATATCCATATAAAGCTACCCATTTGTTAACTTCTGAGTAGTACAGTAACTTCACTTTGCAAGATTCAGTTACCTATAGTCAACAACAGTCCAAAAAGAATAAATGAAAATTCCAGAAATGACTCATAAGTCTTAAAATTTCATACCATTCTGCATAGTTTGATGAAATCTTATCCTTTCACCCAGGACATAAATCATCCCTTTTCAATGGATCTACACTATGCACTTAGCTACTGGCTAGTCATTTAGTAGCTATCATAGTTACAAGATCAGCTAGAGTTGCACAGTACTCATACTTAAGTAACCTTTATTTTAGGGAATAATGTCTACAAAGCACAGAGGTGTTGATGCTGGCAGTTGAACTTTCTGAAGGATAAGCCATAAATTCTTCTGCAAGTGAAAGTTTGAAAGATACCGACTTCCCAATGAATGAAAAACAGCTGTGCTGAGACTGGTAAACTGCAGAGTAGAATGCTTTGAGAGTAAGCGCGTCCCCTTTATTACAGCGCTCTCTTTATTTTGATTGTCATTAATATTTTACGGAGTCTAATTTATAGATTAAACTTTAGAGTAAATGTGTACATAAATAGGAATAAAGTGGTGTGCAAGGGGTTCTATACTATTTTAGTTTCAGGCATCCCCTGGGGATGTACCAGTCCTTCATGAATAAAAAACAAGCATTGTGTGCCATGGCTTAAACATAATTATTCTCTCTCATGTACATTTAGGTTGCTTTCAATTTTTCCTTTTTCCAATGAAATGTATCTTTATATGTGTCTCTGTATTTATTGGTAATTATTTCAACTTTACTAAATTCCCAGAAAATATTGCTGAGTTAAAGGATTTGCGTGTTTAAGATTTTGGTAGATACTTTTAAGATGGTCCCCAGACATAAGCTGTGGCAGCTCACACTTCATTTTCTGTGTGTGTGAGCACATCTGTCCTCACCAGCATGGATAGTATCAATCTGCTGAATGTTTGCTACTAAGAAAAACTCAGACAATCCATCCCCCCATCTCATCTGTAATTGTGTAATTATAAGTAAGTGAACCTAAGAGTGCTAGAAAGCTGAACAAGGGAAATGTGTCCTTGCTTTCAGGTCAGTCCTGACAGTGGCTTGCGAACAGACTGAGGTTCTACTTTTTGACCCCATATCTTCAAAGCACATAAAGACACTTTCTGAAGCTCATGAAGACTGTGTGAATAATATCAGGTAAGTGTGCTAGTGAAAAGTAAGCTCGATTAATGTGATGCAGATAATTCTATTTAAAAGTTAGTGAGAGTATCTCATACCTTGTCTAGTTGGAAAACATTCTTTTAATTATAAAATTTACTGTCAATGATTTTGGATTGGAATCTTTCTGAAGCACATTGTTCACTTCCATGTCATTTATTTTCTTTCCTCTTTGTGTGTCAAGGTCATCATTATGAACCTTAGCCATGTATTACACTGTTCTTTGTCTTAACATCTCTCACTGTCATACCACACCCCAAATCCAGACTACTAAGAGGAAAAGCACATGCCTAGAAGACATTGTTGGAAGCCAGGTCCTTCACTATTCACTAATGTGGGAAGTAAAACACAGTTGGACAGTTTGGTGGATTAATAAGCCATTAAGATGATGATTGTAGAAACCACATAGCAACACAGAAAAATGCTTGGCATAATACAAGTTAAAATTATAAAAAGTATACAAGTATGGAGTGATATAGAAGAAAAAATTAAAAGGATACTTTTAAATCCTAGCAGTAGTTTAGTCAGAATGGGTAGTGTATCATTAGTTTTCTATTTTCTAAGTATATGAAGTGAAATTGTGTGTGACAATTACTTCTAGCTAAGGCAGCATACTAAGTTTTGCTGTAACTCCATTGTTGCAGACACAGAACAACTGACTAAACAACACAAAATTCTGAAACAATGTAGCAATCTCTGTGGGTCAGAAATGGAACCCTGAACCCACAGGCTGCTGGTTTTTCATTCTAGAACTGACATCTAGGAGAGGCCATCCTGTCAGTTAAAAGATGAAAAATACCAGAGAGTTTCATGTGAACCAGATCCAAAATCACTCCAGGAAGCCGGATTCTAGTTGGAATGCCTATGTCACGTATAAATCTCTTTCCTACCTACCAGACTTAGATGGTAAAGGCACAGCCTCATCAACAGAAATTGAATGAAGGTACTTGCTGACCCAGTGACTGGATGTGTATATATGATATTTCCAAACCAGAGCCCTGAAATGCCATTAGAAAGCCTGGTGATAAACTAGGGGTCCAAACAGCCAAGTAGAGGCAACTAAATCCTTAAATAGAATTTCTAGGGAGGAAAAAAGAGTTAGCTTATTATGCTAGAGCCTATAACCAAAACGTCAATACTCACAAAGACATATAATAGTAATACAACAAAAGCAAACCACCAGAACAGGAATGTTCTCTGGATGAAATTAATTTTATGGAGTAAGTAGTCCAATGAAGACTTTATTTTAAAAAATAAATTATTTATTTTTTTTTGACTAGGTAATACATGCACGTGGTACAAAATTCAAAGGTACAAAAGGGTAAACAGTGAAAAGTAAGTCTATTTCCACCTCTGTCACCTAGCCACCCAGTTTCCCTCCCCAGAGGCAACCACTATTACTAATTTGCTATCTTTTTTGAGACAGTTTATGCATGTACAATCATATAAATATATATACATACACTTTTATATAAATGGTAGCATTCTACACATACCTGGCCTTTTTCACTGAACATATTTAGAGATCATTCCATATTAGTATCAGTGGGATGGTCTTATTCTTTTTAACGGCTGCATAGTATTCCATTGATTGGGAAATACTTTAAAACATTTTTAGAATGCTTAAAGAAATAAAAAGGACTCTCTCCAGTTAAAGGGAGCTGAGGATTATAAATCAAGAGAGGTGAAACAAATGAGCTAATATAGTAAAGTGTCAACTAGAATACATGGAAATTTAAAATGTTGCTGTATAAAGTTTTTTTAAAGGGAGGAGGTGGCTAGGGCTGTAGCTCAGCGATAGAGCACTTGCTTAGTATGTACAAGGTATTAGGTTTCATCCCCAGCATTGCTGGGGAGGGGGAAAAAACTCTTTGGAGCTGGAAGGGGCATGTTCCAATCTGGGGGCTGGGAATGTATCTCAGAGGTAGAGCATTTGTGAAGCTCTGAGTTTAATTCCTAGCACCAGAATTAAGGATAAAAAACGTGGGACTGGGAATGTTGCTTATTGCTTGCCTAGCATGTGTGAAGCCCCTGGGTTTAATTCTGCCTAAAACTGAGGAAAGTGGCTCAGGCTTATAATCTCAGCACTCAGCAGGTAAAGACAGAGGAACAGGAATTTAAGGTGATCCTTGACCAGGGAGTTCCGGGCCAATTTGGATTACACAAGCCTGTCTTTAAAAAAGAAATAGGACTGGAAAGATGGCTCAGTGGTTAAGAGCACTGACTGCTCTTGCAGAGTACCTGGGTTCAATTCCCAGCACCCACATGGCGGCTGACCATCACTCATAACTCCAGTTCCAGGGGAATCCAGTGCCTTCTGTTGACCTCTACCAGCATTGCATGACATGAGTGTTCTTACATACGTACAGGCAATATACTCATACACATATAATAACAGTAATAAATTAAAAAATTTAAAATAAATAGAAAATAGCTTGGTGTGTGGCACACATTTGTAATCCCAGCATTTAGGAGGTAGAGGTAGGAGATCCAAGAGTCAAGGTCATACTTGCCTACAGAGAAAATTCAAGGCCAGTCTGAGCTACAGGAGACCCTGTCTCAAAAACAATACAAAACAAAATTAATAATAATAAAAATAAGCCGGGTGTGGTGGTGCATGCCTTTAATCCCAGCACTTGGGAAGCAGAGGCAGGCAGATCTTTGTGAGTTTGGGGCCAGCCTGGTCTACATAATGAGTTCCAGGCCAGCTGGGGCTGCATGTAGGTAAGTGCACCCATATTGTGCAATGCCGGCAGTCAGAAGAGGCTGTCGGATCCCCTGGGACTGGAGTTACAGACAGTTGTTAGCTACCATGTGGTACTGGGATTCAAACCTGGGTCTTCTGCAAGAACAACCAGTGTTCTTAACCACTGAGCCATCTCTCCAGCCCCAGTTCTTGAGATATTTTACTTTCATTTTCTCATACTGTCTTCAAAATCCAGTGTATTTTTATGTCTAGGACACATCTCAGTTCACACTGATCACAGAGCAGGATTTCTGAAGCCAGTTGGGGCATAGAAATGCCAAACTGAACAATGTGCTTTTATATAGTATGTTCTAGTTAGCTTCTCTGTGGCTGTGACAAAACACTGAGCAAAACCAAACTGGGGAGGAAAGGGTTTATTTCATCTTACTCTTCCAAGTTATGGTCCATCACTGAGGGAAGCCAGGGCAGGATCTCAGGGCAGGAACCTGGAGGCAGGAACTGAAGCAGAGACCACAGATGAACACTACTTACTGGCTTGCCTCCCTTGCCTTACTCCATTACCCTCCTTATACAGCCTAGGCCCACCTGCCCCAGGGATGGCATCACCCACAGTGGGCTGGACCCCCCTGCATAGATTGCCAGTTAAGAAAATTCCTCACAGACATGATCCAAAACCAGTCTGATGAGGAAATTCAGCTGAGGTTCCCTCTTCCAGGTGTCTCTAGTTTGTGTCAAGTTGACAAAAACTAAGCATCACACAGTGACAACAGATAGGTTGATGTATAGGAAAGTTTTCTTTCATGGTATGGTATAATATGCCAAGGCCCAAATCATGTTTAGGAAGAAGATAGAAATATTAAGCAATTTTGGACATTATTAGATCAATGCATAATTAAGTATATACAATTTTTTTTTTTTCGGTCTTTTTGAGACAGGATCTCCCTGTAGCCTGAGCTGTCCTGGAATTCACTATGTAGACCAGGCTGGCCTTGAACTCACAGAGATCCGCCTGCCTCTGCCTCCCAAATGCTGGGACTACATACAGGCTTCCGCCACCATGCCCGGCAAGTATATACAATTTTTAAAAACCTAAAATAACTAAAATTTTGGAAATGCAACTTCAGAAAGGGGGGAGACAGGATCATTTCAATAGATATAGGAAAGTTTAAAATTTTTTAATTTTGCCGGGCGTGGTGGCGCATGCCTTTAATCCCAGCAGAGGCAGGCGGCTGGCTCTCTGTGAGTTCGAGGCCAGCCTGGTCTACACAGTGAGTTGAGGCAGGAGGATCTCTGTGAGTTCAAGGCCAGCCTGGTCTACATAGTGAGTTCCAGGACAGCTGGGGCTACAGGGAGACCCTGTCTCAAAAAGACCAAAAAAAAAAATTTTTTTTTTTTTAAATTTAAGCTAGGCGTGGTGATATACACATTAAATCCCAGCACTCTAGAGGCAGAGGCAGGTAGATCTCTGTGAGATCAAGGCCTTTAAGTTTTGCACATTGACTTCCAGGCCAGCTGGGGCTACAGGGAGACCATGTCTCAAAAAAAAAAAAAAAAAAAAAACAAAAAAAAAAACCAAAAAAAAAAACCAAATACAGAAATAAATGAAAATTAAAGCCAAAGAAGGATGATAAATAGAAAATAAGAAATAGAAAAATTCCAAATATAAGAAATTCATAGAAAATATAAATGAATTGGTACCCTTAATTAAAACAGTCTGCAATTTGAATAAGAAAAGGGATCATTCTTATAATATATAGAGATTATTTACACAGATATCAAAAATAAAAAACTGGTCAAGATTATTGATATTGGACAGATGAAAAAGCTAAGGCATTAAAAAAGATAAAATGCAATAGTACACAGTATTAAAAGGAAAGCTCTACCAAGAAGATAAAATAATCACAAACTTTTATGCACCTTAAACCTAGCTGAAAAGCAAAAACAACATTACAAGTATATAATAATAGTGAGATTTTATTAGTTGAGTACAAAACTAGTCAATGTAAATCAGACTGCTTAAGAGTTAAACTGCAGAAAATTTAAAATATCCTGGATAACTTTTCTAATAAAAACAAATGCTGAATAAAACATGTAGGTATATGTATGTATATATGAATGTATATTTTAATGCATAATTTACTGGATAGGAAAGAAAGGAATTATTGGGTTAAAGGGAATGGAAGTAGGAATACAAAGAAGTAAACAGGTATTCAGATAGCTTTTATTGTAAGCATGTGCCAAGTGCTGGTGATGCTGAGCTTTTGATTTATAG